TGATTAGTGTCCATATTAACAGTGCATCATTACTTTTTTTTTGGATTTCCCTAAGAATATTACAGTTTCAGTCAGTCCCTCTGGTTCGGTTCTAGAGAACAGCAATGTGACTCTGACATGCAACAGTGATGCCAACCCAGCAGAGCAGAATTACACCTGGTACAGAGCTGATGGAGGACAGGAAACTATCATTGGAACTGGAAAGATTTTAAACATTGCAGTATCCATGAACAGAAAGAGTTTTTTTCTGCAAGGCTGAAAATGATGTTGGAGAACAATGTTCCAACATCACTCACATTGATGTTCTGTGTATGTATGTTATCTAATGAGATCAAAACCATCTATAAAGTTTACAACAAACATCAGTTTTCATCAGTTTTGTAAAACTGGAAAATATCCGGTCAATGTCCTTCAACTGTTTTAATTTGATTTGTGCTTGTATTAACGTTATAATATTTATGTTTTTAGATTCCCCTAAAAATGTCACAGTTTCAGTCAGTCCCTCTGGTTCGGTTCTAGAGAACAGCAATGTGACTCTGACATGTAACAGTGATGCCAACCCAGCAGAGCAGAATTACACCTGGTATGGAGCTGATGGCTTTGGAAATGGAAAGATTTTATATATTATATTGTCTACAAACCAAAAGAGTTTTTTCTGCAAGGCTGAAAATGATGTTGGAGAACAACATTCAAACATCACTCACATTGATGTTCTGTGTATGTATACTATTCAGATCACAAACATAAAGTTCACTATAAGCATCGGTTTATATCAGTTTCAGTTAAATTGGAAAATATAGAGGCAATGTCCTTCAACTGTTATAACTTTGCAAAGATATTTGATTTGTGGTGATATTAACAATGTATCATGACTCTTATTTCTAGATTCCCCTAAAAATATCACAGTTTCAGTCAGTCCATCTGGTTCGGTTCTAGAGAACAGCAATGTGTCTCTGACATGCAGCAGTGATGCCAACCCAGCAGAGCAGAACTACACCTGGTATGAAGTCAAAGCAGCCCAGGAAATTGTCACCGGGACTGGAAATACTTTAAACACTACAGTATCTACAGACAGAGATATTTTTTTCTGCAAGGCTCAAAATGATGTGGGAGAAGAACGTTCCAACCTCCGTCACATTGATGTTCTGTGTATGTATGACGTTAGAGAACATGTTTCTGTTTGATATTTTGTTCTCATTGCTTTCATCTGATCATTTTCCTTTCATTGTAAAGAAGTTTAAATTCTGGAAGCTGTTTTCTTTGGTGCTCCACCTCCTGATGAATATCACTATTGGCAAGAGGTGAAGGTTCAGACTAAGATCCATTTTCATGATTTTGATGAAAAGGCAGGCCACCATCAGAGGGGAATCTCACAAAGACTAGGGAAACCTGTGGTTTAGCAGGTTGGATTCAGCAGTGATGGTCCACCATCTGGAGCTGAGATGGTCACATTAGTGCAGTGAGCCTTAGGTAGAAACAGGAAGTCTCTGGTTGACATAGACTGTGTGTTATGTGATTGTGCCTGGTGCATTTTTGGTCAGAACATTATTGTTCCTCATTGAAGCAACTAGACGTGGCTAGAACAGTCAAATTGCACCAGGTAAAGAGAAGTGTTAGTTGAAAATTATATTACTCAAGCAGAAGTAATTATGTTGCACTAACATTACTCTTAGAAGTTCTTCTTTTGAAAAGCTTATTCAAATAGATGGAGTGGAGCAAATGTAACTAGTTAATGCACATTCTCAGGACTGACTTCTTCTTTTTCAGAATATAATTCTATAACCAATTATGCTTCAGTTGAATTATGTGTACAAGATCTAGATCTTAATTTCTAAAAACCATTGCACACCAATTTCAGTTAACATGTATTTCCAGGTGATAAATTAACCCAGATATTTAACGCACATACAGACATACACAGGTATAATCCGAAGGTCATACCAACACAGGTTCATATTTCTTTATGCGATCTGTCAAATTTGGTGCCAGGGACAAAGCCACATTTCACGCAATCAGGGTACTGTACCCATATTTCCTTTTGTACATAAAACAATGTTCTAGCATATGCAGACACCTAGCTCTGGTATCTGGTTTGCCCTGAATGCATGTAGGATATGTAAAACAAAAAAAAACAAGAAAAAGACAAATCCAATTTTGCTCCTTAAGAATTGTGACAAAATCATAGTTTTGTTTTTACAAGCAGGAAATTGACTTTCATCGGCTTGATGGCCAATTGTCAATGTTATTAACTTTAAGAGAGCTTGATCGAGATATTTTACATATTTGCCAAACAAGATTTTAAAATACATTTTCATGTTTTGTTTCAGTTTTTACAATTATTTTTGATACTGGATCTTTGCATTATTGCATTTATTTTTATATGCAGCATCTTCATGCTTTTCTTTCTTCCTTTCAGTTCCTTCACGGATCTTATTTTCATCTAAATGCACGAAAACTTCAAATCAGGTCAGCTGTTTCTGTGACACAGCAGGAAACCCGTCTCCAACAACATAATGGAACTTGCATGGGAAACCGGTTATTCAGTCTAGCCAGATGGTGATTACACATGAGTCTCTAAATAACTCGTATCTGAGGAGCATCATCACTATTGTTGAACCACAGGACAGAGATCTGTCCACCTTGCAGTGCTTCAGCTCCAACTCTTTGGGGTCGGCCAGTAAAGGGTTTTGTGTCAGATGCCTTGACAACTCAAAAGAAAATGAAAGTATGTCTTGTCTCTTTAAATTTGCAAATGAAATTCATGCTGGAGCAGAGTAATTTTCATAATTTTTATCTTCCACTTGTATTGTAGGTCAAATCCTGACGCCTGTCTTCATTGGCATTGCTGTAGCTTTTTTACTTATAATATGCGCCTTGCTGGTTGTTGTCTGGTAGGTCAGATGTTCTGCATATTTGTAGGTTTCAGAAGACTCACTATAAACCTAAAAGTGTCGCAGCTACTTCAGGTCAACATGGAGCCAATGAGCAAACCAAGGTAAATTGACATTGCTTTGTTACAAATTATTTTGTTTTTTTTTTAATTTATTTATGTTTTATCGTTTTATCGTTTTCAAGGCTTCTCTTCCAATTCAAATAACCAAAAACAATATAAAAAAGTTGTTCATATTGTGTGGATCTTTTTTTCAGGCCGACAACAGCCAACCTTCAACTGGAACTGATTTAAGCTGCAACAATCCAGAAAAAATGAGTAAAAGCTCAGCAGACAAAAGTGAAGATGTGGTGTATGCTCGTTTAAAATGGAGAGAAAATAACAAAGTGAAGGAGGAAGATATTTACGTGAACTTTGACCTGTCCAATGAGAAAAAGTGTGAGAATGGGGGAGAACATTCTGTGAGCAAAAAAGAGGAAATAGAAAGTATGCGTGCTGAAGATAAGATTAAAAACATAAGAAAGGAATCAGCGGTTGTATATGCTCAGGTTAAATTTCAGACCAAAACCCCAGAGTCTCAGTAAATTATCATTCTCTCGACATAATAGTGAAATTAGACTCAAGAGAAATAAAAGTTTAACATTGAAAATCAAGGAGGGTTTAAAAAGAACAAAATCCTCATGGCTTACACTTATTCATTTCATTCATCCATTAGTACCCCAAGCATACAAATCTAGACTTAAAGTGTGCATACTCATAGTGCATAGATCATAAAACTCTCTGTTAAAATGTTTCCTAAGTATGCAACAAAAACAAAAAAAATAATAATGTAATGGCACATCATACAGAAAGCAGGTAAAGTTAACATGGAGTATGCTTTATGTGAGGTTGGTATGAGCTCTGTCATGTCGGAGATGTTCCAATTGTTTGGTCACTTGGAAACTGAAAAGCATGTGAAGCCCTGTGTGAGTTTTTTTGGAGGCTAATATTATCACAGTAATTTACAACTTGACATCAACATACCTGAGCTGGGATGTTCATGCATGAGGTTTGCATGTCCACTGCTTGCAGAGTCTTCTTCTCTGTTCTCACCTTCTCTCTTCAGTCTGAAAACATCCATGTTAAGTGATTTCTAAAGACAGCTCATGTAATTCTGTTTTGTTTTTAGTCTGTGTTGGTTATGTGATGGACTGACATTCCATAGAACATGTTCTGTCGCTCTCAGCTCTAGGCTGTCTAAAACAAACTGAGAAGAATACGTGTATGAATCTAACTCTACACATCAGCAACTACCATGCAGAGACTGAAGCGTAGGAGAATTTAGTCGTGTCATCTTCATCACATTTTAACTGAAGAGTTTTGAGAGAAACCCTCAATGTGTCATAAGTTGACTGTAAAGTAAAAACCTTAAATTCTCTTTCTAATTGTCCACAAAGCTTTTACCTTCCACCCCCTAAAAAGTGATAACTCTACACTGAACATGGAGCCACCAAGATACATTCAAATTTCAGTCCTTTGCCTGCTCCAGTAACTGGAAATATAAGTTCCAATGGCAGTGTTCTAATAAATTTATATTTTCTAAATATGACATTACATAATAAATACCTCTGATAATTAGGGTATTATGGGGTTCATCATTGCAACACTGACACAATGCTGACATGCTTAGTCAGCATGTTGTCAGCAAATAACTGATGGTTAAGTCGAGATCGCAGAGAGAAAATAAGAATAGGGCTGTTCACAACTGTTTGCATTTACATGTTGTTTTTGTACTGTTGAAGGTGTTTAGTGATATTATGATGGCAGCTGACACCGGTAAATGTTCTGTGCTGGTTTTGTTGGATCTGTCATC